TTATCCACGCAAAGACTAGGAAGAAAAACATACAGGGAAAATCAAAATATGTCATTTTGTTCTTTGATGATTGGAGAAACATATTAAATATATGTCATTAAAAATCAAATTAAGAATATTATGGAATTAAAACAGTTACATAGGTTCTTCCAAGTCACTGGAGAAGAGTAAAGCAAATTAAAGAAAATTCATACAGCAAAAGATCAAAAACAGAAGAAAGAGCAAGGATAAATTAAAAATATAAAGCTTAACAAAAGATAGCAAAAGACCATGTATCACAATTAGAGACACATACACAAAAGATTTCAAATCTGCTATGAAAGGCAAAGACTACTTAAAAAGTAAGAACCAATTGTGCTTCTTAAAAGACTAAATTAAAGTAAACAAAAAAGGTAAAAATAAAGGGTTGGACAATTTAAATGTAAACACAAACAGAAAGCCAATAGGAAAAGAGCAATTCAGGTAAAGTGGAGTTTAAAGGAAAAAATTAAATGGAATACAGAGGGTAAACTTTATAGAGATAAAAATAACAATTCACAATTTAGTCAATTAGTCATTAACTAATACATCTCAGATAAAAATGTCTCAAAATCTACTATCCCCCACAGAACACGGGATATGATCTTAGTCAACAGTGAAGCAAAGGAGTGTGACTGAACCTCTTGCATTAAGACCAGAACTTCAAAGGCTACCCCATCCATAAAAATTGGAGAACTCTGTCCACAGTAGCAGGAGGTTGTGAATTAGCTTGCTGACTGCTCAGAACCTAGGAGAAATTCTTTTGAAAAATTAAAATCCCAAGCCAGCTACCCCCACACATGTGGGATCTGAATGTACAAGACATGCTTACAACAAAAATCAAAAGCTAAAAAAAAAATCAAAACTTGTTGTTAGTTGCCAAGTTGGCTAGTAGCCAAGTGTTTAACAGTTTGTGCCACCCAGGGACCACATATTAAAACAACTTTGCTAATGATGAACTCATGAGAAAAAAATTACAAACACTCAAATATGACAAATACAAACAATAGTATTGATAATAGTATTTTGTTAATAAAAGTTTGCAAATGTCTTTAGTTCCCAAAAAGAACACCAGAAAAACCGGTTGATCAAGCAAAGATAAATTTATTAGCCTTACTACACAAAAAAGGGAACATTGTGTGGTTTAAAATTAGAAAAGGTGTGCGTCTGTATTACGTCCTTTCACCATACTTATTCAGTCTGTATGCTGAGCAAATAATCCGAGAAGCATGAGGATTAGAGGAAGACTCATAAATAGCCTGCAATACACAGATGACAGAACTTTGCTTGGTGAAAGTGAAGCGGATTTGAAACACTTACTGATGAAGATTAAAGACTACCACCTTCAATTTGGATTACACCTCCACATAAGGAAAACAAAAATCCTCATAACTGGACCAATAAGCAACATCATGATAAATGGAGAAAAGACTGAAGTTGTCAAGGATTTCATTTTACTTTAACCCACAATCAATGCCCACGGAAGCAGCAGTCAAGAAATCAAACGACACATTGCATTGGGTAAATCTGCTGCAAAAGACCTCCTTAAAGTGTTAAAAAGCCAAGAGGACACTTTGAGGACTAAGGTGCACCTGACCTAAGCCATGGGATTTTCAATCACCTCATATGCATGCAAAAGCTGGACAATGAATAAGGAAGACCAAAGAAGAATTGATGCCTTTCAATTATGGCATTGGCCAAGAATATTGACTATACCATGGATTGCCAGAAGAACGAGCAAATCTGTCTTGGAAGAAGTACAGCCAGAATGCTCCTTAGAAGCAAGGATGTCGAGGCTTTGTCTCACATACTTTGGACATACTAATCAGGAAGGACCAGTCCCTGGAGAAGGACATCATGTTTGGTAAAGCAGAGGTAAAGAGGAAGACCCTCAAAGAGATGGATTCACACAGTGGCTGCAACAATGGGCTCAAACATAGCAATGATTATGAGAATGGCGGAGGACCCGGCAGTGTTTTGTTCCGTTACACATAGGGTCGCTATGAGTCAGAACCAACTTGACACCTAATACCAAAAACAAGAATAAGAATTACTGCTCCACAGTCAGCTAGCAGAAGCATTGGGGCACAATGGCTATTTTCTGAACACTTGTTAATTAATAGTTCTTCCCTTTGCAGACAGAGAGGAAAATTTTGTCAAACAAAGTTGACACACTTGCTTTAGTTTAATCCGTCTCATGTTCCTTTATCTGTACTCTCCCTCTCACCTTTTTCTTCCCCAGGTTTAATTCTCTATATCTGGAGCCTCAAATTCAAGAGGGTATTGACCTTGTGTCCTTCACGCTACTGCACTCTCCACCACTTCCTTCTGTCTTCTCTCTCTCTGTCTCCCTCCATGCAGCCATCCCAACTTGAGGAGACTAGAGCAATATATACACAGTAGCTCTCAGCTATAACTCTACCATTAAAAGCAAATGAACACTGCCAGGCTCTGTTGTGATTCTCTTGTTTTCTATACGTGTTGATAAAGACAGATCAATTAGAAGATTCCTTTGTAACTCAAATATGTAACAAAAAATGTACACATCAAATTATGCAGTCATTTCATGTCATGGGGTTGTTAACCGATGTCATAAAACAATATGTGTACTACTGTTTCATGAGAATCTATTTGTTCTGTAAACCTTCCCCTGAAGCACAATAAAAAAAAAATTATGCAGTCATTTGTAGTTTGAAGTAAAATGCTTTCATTTGCATTGTCCTCACCCCTACTCAAGACAACCTCAACCCTGTAGTAGTTTTACCCTGCATAGTATTCTCAATAGTAAAACCATTAGTCAGTAGTATTTGAGCGTACATTGATACAGAGTGTTGGGTGTCTTGTGGCAGTTATAAAATTAATGTTCCCCATCCTTGAATTGGTAGTGGTGGCACAGTGGTTAAGAGCTACAGCTGCTAACAAAAAGGCTGGCAGTTTGAATCCACCAGGAACTCTTTGAAACTCTATGGGGCTGTTCTACTCTGTGCTATAAAGTCGCTATGAATCGGAATTGACTTGATGGCAGCAGGTTTGGTTTTTTTGGTTTTATCCTTGAATTGGAGTCATGGTGGTGTAGTGGTTAAGAGCTACAGCCTGCTAACCAAAAGGTCAGCAGTTCAAACCCATCAGCCGCTCCTTGGAAACTCTATGGGGTAGTTCTACTCTGTCGTTTAGGATTGCTATGAGTCAGAATTGACTTGACGGCAATGGGTTTGGTTTTTTCTTTTTTAATCTTTGAATTAAATGGTTTTGTGGGTGGGGCAAACAGTTAAGCGCTCAACTACTTATCATAAGGTTGAGGTGCCTCAGGAGACAAACCTGACAATCTGCTTCTGAAAGGTCACAGCCTTGAAAACCCTATGGAGCAGCTCTACTCTGCACGCATAGGGTCAACTCCACGGCAAGTAACAACAACAATATGAAGGATAGTAGGGTAGAGAAGGATATAGCATTTTTGGGGTCTAAGTGCAAATGGTTTAGGACAGGTCTTTCAAGGCAGGGAACTGATTGGGATTGGGCAAAGTTATTGACATAAGAGGTTAGAATTGGTGGTAAAGTAACCAACTTCTCCTGGTTTGCCTAGGACTTACCCAGTTTTAACAATGAAAATCCCACATCCCAGGGACCCCTTCAGTCCTAGCAAACTGGGACAACTGGTCATGCTAACTGATGGGCACAAATTGCTATGGTCTTGAAGCCAGTCTAGATAAATAAACGGGTGTTTCATAAGTGAGCTATTTGCCCAGATGAACCATTTATTTTTCTGCTAAAAGAGCTATTTGCCCAAATGAGCAAACTGTTCAGATTAATTGGTTTGCAGGAAGTTCCTGAAACAGTGAAGTTAGTTATTGGTTTAGGACTTTATTATCCAGGAGGGAATTTACTAAAACAGGTAGAAAAGTCATATTGATACAGATGGCCTGAGTTCTCAGTCCTCATAGTTAAGTTATGTGGATGTAGGTGGTCTCAGTTCTTAATAGGTTCACCTAATTCATAAGTAAATGAGCCTTGACATAAATTAGTTCTGGTACTGATTAGAAGTCAGTAAGCAAATGTTGACTGAGCACCTAAAATACGCCAGATTCTGTATAGACACCAGAGGCACTGTGTAAAGAGAATTGGTGGAATAATTGATGGCGGGTGCTGCGTTACCATCCACAAAGCATTTATTATCTTTAAGGTAAGATGAAGATGATAAAGTTAAGTTTAAAATCTTAGGCTTCCTGGATGGCTCACTTTGTGCTAGACTACTCACCTCAGGGTTGGTGGTTCAAACCCACCCAGCGGCACCGCAGAAGAAAAGCGGATAGATACCTGCTTCCGTAAAGATTGTAACCAAGAAAACCCTGTGGGGTGTAGTTCTACTCTGTAACACATTGGGAGCCATGAGTCAGAATCGACTTGACAGCAACGGATTTGGTTTTTATTTGACAAAAGACTGCACAGTCAAGCCACATAACAGTAATAAAACGTTATCTTTTAAGGAGACATATTCATTTATCATTGCAGCAGGCCCTGTACTAGGTGCTGGGGATTCCGTGTTTAATTAAAAAAAAAAAAAAATGACATGATCCCTGTCTCCACGTGGCCTTCACGAACCACCAAGGGTGCTACTTTTTCTTTCAAATTTTGGCGAAGTCTTTACGTGGGGGAGAAGGAGGAAGGAGGAAAGGCCAGGTTGAGAGGGACCAAGTGTATACTGCCGAGGTCTAGAGAAGCGTCCACAGTGCGGTAAATGGGCCAGTCTTCCAACCCGCAATGCCAGAGTCGGAAGGGAGAGGGTCTCCCCACCCTACAAGGGGCGGAGGCTGGAAGCGGGCGGGACCTGCGGTGGAGGCGGGCCGAGCCGGGGGCGGGGCGAAGGGAGCCGGAACGGGGCAGAGGAGCCGCGGGAAGGGAGGGCCCGGGCCTGGTCCTGGGCCTGCATCGGTCGCTGCCAGGGCCACGGTGTCGGCTGCGGCTTCTCCTCGGCGCCGCTGCATGGAGGCGGTGGGCTGACGGGAGGCCGGGGTGGGATGCGGTTGACGCGGAAGCGGCTCTGCTCCTTTCTGATCGCCCTGTACTGCCTCTTCTCCCTCTACGCCGCCTACCACGTCTTCTTCGGGCGCCGCCGCCGGGCGCCGGCCGCGTCCCCGCGGGGCCTCAGGAAGGGGGCGGCCCCGGCGCTGGAGAGGCGCGGCCGAGGTAGGAGCGGGCGGCGGCCCCCTGCGGCGTGCGCGCCTGGACGTGGGCTGCGGGGTGGGGCCGTGCGGAGCCGAGCTGAGCGGCGCGGACCCGGCTCTCGGCCCCGGATTGTCCCTGGGCACCCGCGTGGGCTTTCCTTCTCCAGCTCTTGTGAGCCAGCCTTGAGCTCCCGGTTGGAGGGTGTGCGTTTTCCTTATCCTAGTCCGAATCTCCCACGCCGTCCCAGCTCCCCACCCCAAGGCTGACGGGCGCGCACACCTTTAAAACATGTATTGAGTGTCCAAGACGTCACAGATGCCGGAGAGATTCCTGGGAATGCTGTAGGAGGCTGCAAATCGCCTCTGGGTTTAAGACAGCTATTGCCATATTGAAACAAAAAGTCTTCTGTAAGCATGCATTAACTTTAGAAGGCCAGAGCACTTTCCCTCCAGGTTCTGGCACCTTGTCCGATGTTTTGACCTGTGCCACGATCGAACTCAGCTTTTATCACTCCCTTTTTTCAGAATTTTGTACAACAGTATCTAAAGCTAGTGGACACTTTACATTCTGAAATCAAGTTTTTATGCATAGGTTATATATGTACAGTGGAGTCCCTGGGTGGTGCAAATGGTTAAGGAGCTTTGCTGCTAACGGAAAGGTTGGAAGTTCGAGCTTTGAGTCCACCCAGAAATACCTTGGAAGAAAGACCTGGCAATCAACTTCTAAAAAAATCAGCCATTGAAAACCCTATGGAGTCCAGTTCTACTTTGACACACATGAAGTCGCCATAAGTCACAGTCGACTTGATGGCAACTAGGTTTTTGTTCTAATGTACATATAATGGATAAAGTGCAGGAGTTAAACATGTAGCTTGATACATATTATCCAATTATTTTAAAAGGTTTTGTTTTAGAGGATATAATTATCCTGTCTTTGTTAACTTTTTATTTCTAAGATCTTTCAGATTTCGTTTGTGTGTGTGTGTGTGTTCAAATTCAGTTGCTTTATCGCTTGGAAAAATTGAAGTGAGAATGAAATTAGAACTCCCTAACATCTAATTTGGAGACCTAGTGGCGCATTGGTTAAGCATTCAGCTGCTAACCAAAAGGTCAGCAGTTCGAATCCACCAGCTGCTCCTGAGAAACGCTATGGGACAGTTCTCCTCAGTCCTATAAGGTCGCTTTGAGTCGAAATTTACTAGATAGCAATGGGTTTGGTTTTTTTGTTTTAACATGTAATTTAAATGACTTAAGTGCAGCTTTACCTTACTGAGCCCCTGGGTGATGCAGATAGGTAAGTATTTGACTACTAACTGAGTACTTGACTACTTTACTGAGCCCCTGGGTGGTGCAGATAGTTAGGTACTTGACTACTAACTGAAAGGTTGGCTGTTTGATCCTACCCAGCCCTGGTGGCATGAGTGGAAGCCCTATGGGCCAGTTCTACTCTGTCCTATAGGGTCACTTTGAATCAGAATCGACAGCAAGGAGTTTTGGTTTTTGTTAGAGGCACCTCGGAAGAAAGGCCTGGCTATCTGCTTCTAAAAGGAGCACAACTACACTGCACACATGAGGTTGCCACAAGTCAGAATTGACTCAGAGCAGCTGGGTTTTTTTGTTGTTGTTGTTTTGTTTTACCTTACTGATAACAGTTTTACTCTTTTTAAAACACAGAACAGTCTGCTTTGGAAAGTGAAGAATGGAATCCTTGGGAAGGAGATGAAAAAAATGAGCAACAACACAGATTTAAAACTAGCCTTCAAATAGTAAATAAATCCACGAAAGGAAAAACAGAGCTTAGTGTACAGATCTGGGGCAAAGCTGCCATTGGTAAGTTAATGTATAGAGTTAGTAACAAAGCACCATAAAATGTACTTTATTAACATTAAATCAAATTCATTTTAATTAATATAGTTTAGTTCACCATTAATTAAGGCATCATGGTGCACTTTTTCATTTTTCGTCAATATTACCTTTCTCCTTTCTGTGCAAATGCATATATTCCATTGTTGACCTTCAGCATAGTTCACCTTTATTTCTAAATAGAAAATAGTAGATCATGTGGTATCATTATATTGAAATGCCTATGTCAACTGAATTTTTATGAATTTGTGTATTTACTGGACACTTAAGACCAAGTATAAGATGTGGTCCCTGCCGTTGGTGGCCAAACAAGTTTGGGAGACACTGAACTGAAAAAAGTTAAACAGAACTTTTTACTGTAGGGCTTTCTCAGACCCATTAATATGCCAGTGTTTATTGTGCGTGTCCAAGATGGGCATATAGTATGTACTTAATTAAACTTGATTGCCCATAGAAGCGTTTTTGCTCCCAGTGTCCTGAGAGTCTAGTGTTCTAACCTATATATTATGGTAGAGTAGAAAATGGGGTGCAAAGTGAGGGCCAGAAGATTCAGAAAGGATTTAGTGAATTAAGAGAGGCTTTATATGGGTTAAGGAACCCTGGTGGCACAGTGGTTAGAATGATTGACTGCTAACCGAAAGGTCAGTGGTTCGAAACCACCAGCTGTTCCATGGGAGAAAGATGTGGCAGCTTGCTCCCATAGAAATCTACAGACTTGGAAACCCTATGGAATCACTATGAGTCAGAATCGACTTGACAGCAGTGGATTTTATTTGGGTTTAAATATGAGTTGGATTTATGTATAATAAGGGGTATGGATAAAAGTACCAGATTAGAGGAAAGAGAACAGAGAACAGGTCCAGGCATGTGGTGTTTGGTAAATGCATTCGCTAGTGGGTGTAAATACAAACTCTTGAAGATTACTACCATCAGGTGTCCAGCTGAGGCCTCCAATCATCAAGTTGTATCAATTTTTTTCCTTTATAAAGTCACCAGTATTGATTTCTTTAATTCCCCACTTGACCATTCCACTTTTTAATTAAAATTATATTGTAACAGTTTTCCATGTTCCTAGACTTTTCTTTTTTCAATCCAATAAGCACAAAGTAGCCGGATGAATTTTATCAAACGCTACTTTCATCACTCTATTCCCCAGGCACAGGATCAAATTCAGTCTTTTCAGCTATGGATTCAAGGCCTCCTGCAGTCTGACCCCACTGTATATTTTTCAGCCTAATCTCCAGCTCTTTGCTTACATAACCCCTTATCCTAGCTAGAGTCATCTTTGCACAGTTTGGTAATTTTGGCCTTTGTTCATATTATCCTTATTAAAATGTCCCCTTTCTATAGCTGAATCCTATCAGCTTTTAAAGACCTAACTAAAGATCTACCTTTCTTGTATAACTTTCCATATAATACCCTCAACTCAAATGTCTCTTCTATAAAACCCTCCAAATTTATACATAATCTGTACTATTCAGTTGCTGCTTGTATTGCCTCATATTATGTATTCCGTACAGCAACTACCATAATGCTTTCAATCAGCAGAGTACATTAATTTATGTAAAGCCCTAGCAGCATCTTCCATCAAGTAGATGCTTAATAAATGTTAGAGCCCTTCCTTTAGCAAAATGTTAATAGCAGTAGAGTGGGAATTGGGACAGAAGTTTTTTGGTAACAGTAAAGAAACAGACTTTTTTAAATCAAGCTCACATTGAGAAGTTTAAAAAAAAAAAATGTTTGGATATAAGGATTGTACATTAACGGAGGACCTTGAAAGCCAGACCGAACATGCTGAGAGCTCTTGAGCACAGAAGTGATTAGAATCTTAGATCTGGAAAAGAACTCCGAGAGCGCTCTTTAATTCAGCCTGTCATTTCATAGTTGAGGAAATTAAGCAGCAGCTAATCTAAGTGACTTGCTAAAGGTAAATGAACTCAGCTGAAACCTAGTCCTTTTGATTCCGTTTTCTATTTCCTTGTTTTATTTTCAGTTGACCAAAGCAACATTTTATTTGAGAATGAATCTGGTAGACACATAGATGGTTTTAGAAAAATACAGGCCAGCTTGGAATTGCAACCTATTCAGTAATAGGTATGAAGTATCAAAAAATATATAACTCTTAACCCAGCAATCCTGTTCCTAGGAATTTGTCTTAAAATCAATCCCATAAAAGAAGGAAAAAGTTACGTGCACAAAATAACTATTTTGAAATTATCTATGAAACGTGTCTGTTAAAAGAAGACTATAGAATTATATTTATACTACATTTATAATTGTGAATCATTTTATTTTTACATGTGGTGGGATTGTAGATGTATTTATATTTTGTTATCTTAATTTTTTCTGCAATGAATAATTTTTACAGATTAATAATAATACAGAGCAGACTGAGATTCAGCAACACTAAGTTAAAGACCTAAAAGCAACTCTCAGAAATTGATGTGATGACGTTCAATCATTGACCCTGGAAAAGTCCGAGAAACATGGGGGAAAAGTAAAAATTTGTGCAGAAATTAGAGCCTACAGTGGTAACTTCTGACCACAATTATTAAAGACTTTGTGGCCACTTTGTACTCCAGATGTGATTGCTCTAGATGTACGCTACACTAGATGCATTACTTTAGTAATAAGTACCTAGATTATGAGTACGTCATCGGAAAGAAACATTTTGAAGGGAAGAAAATATATATGCGTGTGTGTGTGTGCGTGTGTATATAATTTAGTGATTAAAGATTGTTAGTATCAAAAATGACTTCAAGAGTTTGAGCCTAGACAGTTGAGAAAAATGATAGTTCCTTTGAGAGGGACGGTGAAGAGGAAGGGAAATTGTTTTGGGGGTAAGATGATTAATCAACTTTGGATATGTTATATTTGAGGTAAGAAGACATCCAAGTAGATATGTACACTTGGAATAAGCATGGAGTTCAAATGAGGTGACAGAGGTAGAGACTCTAAATTTTGATGTTATCAATGAGGGGTTATAATTTAAGCCAGGAGTAATAGATAAAGATGATTTATGTTTTCAGGGTAATATCTTTGAAAGCATAAACCATAGAAAGGAAAATGAATATTCAAAGTAAAGCTACCTGAGTTTATAGTAACACATGACTATCTGTTCTCATTATAACCACTTGAAAACATTTCTTTGGTGTTTCAGTATCATTATGCTGTTGTAACAAATTTTCCCACTCTTAGTGGCTTAAAACAATTTTAAAAAATCTTACACTTCTGGAGGTCATATATCAAAAGAGCTGTGTTCCTTCTGGACCCATTAGGAGTTAATTTGTTTCTTCTTGCATCTTCCAGCTTCTAGAGGCTGCCCACATTCCTTGGCTTATGACCCACATCACTCTGCCCTCTGCTTCTTTCATCACATTTCCTTCTCTCACTCTGACCCTTGTGATTACTTTTTGCCCACCTAGATAATCCAAGATTATCATAACATTCCCATCATAACATCCTTATTTTTATCACATCTGCAGAGGTTCTGGGGATTATGGCATGAATATCTTTGGGGCACCATTATTCAGCCTAACACAGTCTGCCCTCTGGCCCCCAAAGATTGAAGCCCATCCCACATGCAAAATACATTCACCTTTCCTAAAGTCTCAACCCATTACTGCATTAACTCAAAGTCTAAAATCTTAAGTGCCCAAAAATCCTGGGGCAAAATTCCTGTCCTGTGGCCTTGTGAAACTAGAAAACAAGTTATCTGCTCCCAAAATGCTCCATGTTTTTGTCCTTTTCAGCCCAAGTTGGCAATGTTTCTGCTGATATAACATTCTCAAGAACATTCTGGGTTTCCCAGGTATGTCATGGAGATTCACTCCATTAGACAAGAGGACCCTCCACAGATCTTTCTTGGATAATCCTACCTCTATTTCTGACTTCTACTTAGATGACTGAGGAGATCTGTGGGTCCCATAACTAATTTCCTCGAAGAGCAGTGTGGTCTGACTGAATACTCTGACCTTTTGATCCTTCCACTACACTAGCAAAAGGTTGTCCAGCCACATCCTTGGCTTTCTCTCCAGAGCACACTTTCCTCACAGTGTATCTCCTAATTTTATCATCTTTTACAATCTAGGTAGCCTGAGAATTTCCCAAATCATGTGCTGGTTCCTTTTTGCTTAACAATTCTCCCCCGTAATCTGTCTCTTTCCTCTCAGATTTTACTATAAGCAGTAAGAATAAATTAGGCTGTACCTTTAACACTTTGCCTGGACATCTCTTCAGTTAAATATCCAGTTCATCATTTACAAGTTTTGCTTTCCACACAACTGTAGAACACAATTTTGCTAAGCTTTCTGCCACTGTATTGCAAAGATCCTCTTTCCTCCAGTTTCCAACAACATGTTCCTTGTTTCTTTCTGAGCCCTCACCAGCAGCAGCTTTCATGTCCATATTTCTAACAATAGTCTGCTTGTGATGATTTACGTGGTCTCTAAGATGATACGGATTTTCCCCAATTCCAAAGCCACTTCCATATTTTTAGGTATTTGACAGCAACACCCCTCTTCCAGGTACCAAAATCTGTACTAGTTTCCTATTGTTGCTGTAACAAATCACCACAAACTTAATGGTGTAAAATAACAAATTTATTATCTTATAGCTCTGGAGGTCAGAAGTCTAAAATGGGTCAGCAGGTCTGTGTTCCTTCTGGAGGCTCTAGGGGAGAGTTTGTTTTTTGCTTTTTCCATTTTCTGAGGCCGCCTAAATTCCTGTGCTCATGGCCCTGCATTGCTCTGACCTCTGCTGCTTTTGTCACATTTACTTCTCTTACTCTGACCTTCCTGCTTCCCTCTTGTAAGGACCCTTCTGATTATATTAGGCCCACCCAAATGACATCCCACCTCAGCATCCTTAACTTAATCACATCTGGAAAGTCCCTTCTGCCATATAAAAGAATATATTCACAAGTTTGGGGGATTAGGATGAGAACATCTTTGGGAGTTATAATTCAGCCTACCATGTTTGGAAAGCTGCTTTATCTAATTGGTCAAGTCTTTAAACATGGTTGTTTGGGTGTCACTTATATCAGGGTGTAATGAGATGGAACAGAACACGTCTTTCAATGTGACTAAAACAGGTCTCCCAGAGGTGTTTTGTGATCTCCGGATTACCTCACTGTGTCACTGCGCTCCTATACTCTAGAAGATTTCATTCAGGTGAATGATAATAAAACATCAGGGGCTGCCCTACAGAGAAAAGATGCGGTGACATTTGTTAGCGAAGGGCATCATGCAGTGAGGGATGTGTGTTCAAATGAGAACAAGGTGGTATTCTGTTGACATGAATGTGTGTGTATGTATATACATAAGCTCGTCTGGTAGTGTCTCTGGGTGGCACAAATGATTTTCACTCAACTACTAACCTCAAAGTTGGCAGTTTGAACCCACCCAGTGGCACTGTGGAAGAAAGGCCCAGTGATCTACTTCCACAAAGATTACAGTCAATAATGGACCGCAAATACCACAGCCTCCACCAGCCTAAGCCCAGAAGAACTAGTTGGTGCCTGGCTACCACCACCAACCATTCTGACAGGGATCACAATAGAGTGGAAGAAAAATGTAGAACAAAATTCAAACTCATAGAAAGACCAGACTTACTGGTCTGCCAAAAACTCAAAGAACCCCCAAGACTATGGCCCCCAGACACCCTTTTAACTCAGAATCAAAGCCACTCCCAAAGTTCACCCTTCCGCCAAAGATTAGGCAGGTCTATAAAACAAACAGAGCTCTGGTGGTGCAGTGGTTAAGAGCTCGGCTGCTAACCAAAAGGTCAGCACTTCGATTCTACCGGCCACTCCTTGTCTACAGGGCAGTTCTGTTCTGTTCTGTAGGGTTGCTGTGAGTCGGAATCAACTCAGTGGCAGTGGGTGATGGTGGTGGTATAAAACAAACAATAACAGACATGAGGAACGTGCTTCTTAGTTGAATCAAGTATACAAGACCAAAAGGGCAACACCTGCCCAACAGCCATGATGAGAAGGCAGGAAGGGACAGGAATAATGGACAGACGGAAATGAGGAATTGGAGTGTAGAAGGGGAGAGTGTTGACACATCATGGGGATTGCAACCAATGTCACAAAACAAGTTGTGTATAAATTGTTGAATGAGAAACTGATTTGCTCTGTAAAGCTTCACCTAAAACACAGTTTAAAAGGAAAAAAAAAAAAGATTACAATCAAGAAAACCCTGTGGATCAGTTCTACTCTGTAACACATGGGGCCACCATGACTCAGAATTGACGCAACAATGAGTTTTGTTTTGTTGGTGGTGGTGGCACTAAATGGTGAATTCCCCCACTTTGTTATAATATAAAAACAGTTCTGATCTTACAGCAATTTATATTGTAATGTAACACATCTCATTTCAGGATAAAATGGATACTCAAGGTCCAATGATAGTTAGGGATTTTTCAGACTTACAGTAAACAAGGTTGTTGTCTTTAATGTAACCCACACTTAGCCACATTTTACACTGACAGCCTTTGAGTTCTGTCTCTCATATATTATTGATGATTTTGAGCTATTACTGGGTAGTGCCAAAAAAAAAATCTGATTTTGTAGTCAAATGATATAAAGGACAGAATATAAACTCATCTCACACTCTAGAGTAAATCAGATGGTAAATGTTTTTCTTTTGTTTTTTATTACCAGGTTTGTATTTGTGGGAGCATATTTTTGAAGGTGTACTTGATCCCACTGATGTGACTGCTCAGTGGAGAGAAGGAAATTCAATTGTAGGAAGAACACAGTTCAGGTATTAGTTGTGCAACATTAACCTTGATGTATTGAGGTACAATGTTTTGTGTAAATACTAGAAGAAAAATAAGAGGAAAATATATTTATATAAAATAGTTTTATTTCAGCTTGTGAACAATAGAGAAATAAATCTCGTGAGTATGTATTAGTAGTTAAAGCCTATCTTGAACATTTTCCTATGAAATATGAACATTACAAAATACTTCTTTTTTTATTTTTTTGGTATCATGTCTGTTTCATCTTTAACAAAATATTTCTGATTATATGGAAAAGTTCATGCTCCAAATTTTAAAAGTCAGTTATTTACAAGCATTTAACGTTTCATACTTTAGAAAAATGGTATGTAAACTTGAAAGTATTTTCATTTTTCTTGTTAATAACATAGTCCTATTCACTTTTTGTAGTATTGAGGTAGTATAAAAGCTGCTGCTACGCTATTGAAATTTTAATTAAGACATTTTATGTAAGTTCTAGTATATGATTTAATGGTTTAGATTACCATTTTTCGACAATACTCAGAAATCTATTTTTTAGATGCAATAAAATCAATGTATTGCTGAGTTTTTTTGGCTGTCATTTTTAAAAAATCTTTTACATACAACTGTATATCTCATAAAGATTTTTAAACGGCTAGAATTAAGATCATTTTATTTAGGAAACATTTTATAATTTCATGATATAAAAAGTTAAAACCAAAAAAATGGTATTTTCCGTTAGATTTTGCTTTCTTATTGAAGTAAAAATAATTATTTTAAAATGCTGATTTCATGTGACGGTTGTATTGGGGGAAAATTGTGAACCAAAGATTCTAGTTTCTTTTGAGATTCCATTTCTTTCCCATATAAATCAAAAAAGGAAAAGCTATAGTTAATCTCAATTTCATTTTAATTTTCACTGATGTTTTAATTTCTTATTTACTTTATAAACTCTTGGAAAGCAATTTCATTGCGTATATCTTCTTAAACGTAAAGAGGTTTTTAAAATCAATATTAGTAATGATTATTTTTGCTTCATCTCTATTCAGGCTTCTATTGATCTAATCCCATCTAAGAGTTTATACATAGTCCTAAATTTACAATAGTTGCATTTAGGTGTTTGAAAGTAAATGTCTGTTATGCATATAACTCTGAAATTTTGGTATTTGAAAAGTAAACATGTTATGGATATTATTCTAATAGTTTTATCCATAATATATAGACTTTTCAGGATAATTCTTAAAAATTCAGAGAAGTTAGTGTCTTTAGCTTAAAATTATAGTGTTATTATGATAGCAAAGGATTTAACCAAACATTTAGCATTAACTGCCAAAAGAAAGCCTAATTTAGTCTTCTTTTCTGAGATTTTTATCTGAAGTTTTATATTATAATCAAATATCAATGCTATTTCCTCTTAGAATTTAAGAGAACTGTGTATTCAAGGAAGTTCACTCTTGTAGCAGATTTTTTAAAACAGGTTATTAAAATTTTAGCTCATGAAGAGTAGCATACATAATTTATTTATCCAAAATTAATAAACCTTTATGGAATTGCAAGTTTTGAGTTAAATTGGGTTACATGCGTACCAGCTTAAATGTTTCAACATATTCACCATTCTTATTTGACCAAAAGTGAGGGCAAAAGTAGTGATTCACCTTAAAGATATTGAAAGAGTTTGTAAGTAATATTGGGATACTTGCTGTAAATAAGTATAAATACATTATGTTTAAATAATGCTTTAAGTTTATAAAGTGTTTATATTATTTAATTTGAGCCTAACAACAATCCAGAGGCAGAAGTAGAAAGAATATCATCCATGTTCCAGAGTTGATAAGGCTCAGGAATGCTGATTCTTACCAACTCGTAAATCCAAACTATGTCATCCAGAATACCAGGTAAATCATTCAAAATGGAAATAAAATTATCAATCAGGCCACATGCTTATGTTGGTTTAACTAGCACATTCTTTGCATACAGGTAAGCTACAAGTGATATCCAGTTAATTGAGGACTGTTAGTTTAAATATGGAATTTTACTGCATGTTCGGAATGTGAAAAACATGATTTCATTACATTTAGTGCTTCCAACTTGACATGTTTCAGAAGGCAGGAACATGAGTCCTCCTTCACCATTGAATCGGTAGCATCGCATGCATTGCTTAGCATTTAGCCTGTGCTGAGGCTATGAATACATGAATATACACGGGGCAAGCTAAACTTCCCTCTGATGAAGCCCTGCCCCTCTGGGTAGTATAGTAGTGTAACTGAGTTATTCAGAGCACAGACTCTGGAGCTGAGACTTCTTGTTGTGTGCCATCAAGTGGATTCTGACTCATAATGACCCCATGTGACAGAGTAGAACTGCCCCATAGGGTTTCCTAGGCTGTAATCTTCACAGGAACAGATTGTCAGATTCTTGTCTCCCGCAAAGCAGCTGGTGGGTTTGAACACCACCCTTTCATTTAGCAGCTGAGCGCTTACCCATTCCTCCACCAGGGCTCTTTGGAGCAGAGACTAACTGGATTCAAATTCCAGCTCATCACTTATTAACTGTCTGACCTTGGGAGAGATTCTGAACAACCTATGCCTGGGTTTCCTCAAGTTTAAAATAAGGCAAATAATAGTTCCTATCTCAGAGAATTGTGAGATTAAATACATTAATATATGTAAAGTGCTTAGAACAGTATCTGGCACATAATAACCATATAGAAGTGTTGTTGTTATTAGTTTTGTTATTTTTACTGTTACTTAAATAGACATTGCAATGTCTCCCTGCCTCTCAATTCTCCTTTTTCTTTATTTCCATTACTATACATTCCATGTTCCTTCCCACAAATACCTTATTGACACGTTCTTTGTATTAATATGTTCAATTAGGTTACAACGTAGCCCGAGACCTATTCTGTCTCTTTACAGAACTTTGTCTCTACTCGTGTCCATCATATGTGGATTTATAGTTTAACTTCACAGGGCAACCTTATTTGTAATTTCTTAGGAGGAATCTTCCTTCTGGTCACCATGGCCTTTGCTTATCCCCAAAGACTGCCTTCAGAATCCTATAATTTCCATACATAGGAATGATTTAAGATACATAAAATGTCTTCCCATTTGATAAAACAAAAGTTTGATGCTAAATTATTTATTAATTCATTATTATCAAGGTACAATTATGATATTCTTAGTGAGCATCTACTACTTACAAAAGTTGAACTTACTTTAAAAGATCACTATAGAATAAAATGTCTAATCCTATTTTTAGAATTTCCAGATGTTACTGTTTTAAAAACTTACAAAGCTCACTATTCATCACAGTGAGTGAAAGTGTTTCTATCTAATACTAATGATTAGTAGTTACTGATGCTACCTTTTAGTCAAATGCTGGACCATAAATCAGTGCAAGTCCCAAATAAAATTTTCATTGGTAAACAAGATGTCTTAGGCATCTAGTGCTGCTATAACAGAAATACCACAAGTGGATGGCTTTAACAAAGAGAAATTTATTCTCTCGCAGTCTGGTAGGCTACAAGTCCAAATTCAGGGCACAGCTCCAGGGGAAGGTTTTCTCTGTTGGCTCGGGAGGAAGTTCCATGTCATCAATCTTTCCTTGGTCTAGGAGCTTCTCTGCGTAGGAACCTCAGGTCCAAATGACACACTCTGCTCCTGGCACTGCTTTCTTGGTGGTATGAGGTTCCCATGTCTCTCTGCTTGCTTCTCTCTTTTATATGTCAAAAGAGATTGGCTTAAAACACTACTTAATCTTGTAGACCTCATCAGTATAACTGGCACTAATCCATCTTATTACATCATGGTGATAGCATTTACAACACATAAGGAAATCACATCAGATGATAAAATGGTAGACAATCATACAATACTGGGAATCATGACCTAGCCAAGTTGACAGATGCTTTTGGGGGCACAAGTCAATCTATGACACAAGGATAATGTAATCAGTTTTTCATAATGTCACAGTTATTCTTTTAATGTTAAAATGTCCTTTAGAAAAATAATGGTGATAGTGATGGTTGATGCTTATAAGGTGCTTACAATGTGCCAAACACAGTTTTACACAGTGTATATATTTTAATTTAATTCTTACCACAACTCTATGAAATATTATTTATATTTTTCAAATGAGGAAACTGAGGCACAAAGGGATTAAAAAGATTTTTTTCCTCAGACTTTCATCTACAAATTTTAGCATCCAGAAACAGTAGTTTTAAATGTTCTAAATTCAAGAAACAACAGCAAAAAGTACAACACATAATTTGAATATGGTGAATTCTGAATTATTTTAGAACATAAGTCGCATTGTTTATTATATGCAAAGAAATAATATGAAACCAAATAAGAAAACCTTGTGAAAATCCCCAGAACCACTAGGTAAAAGTTAAATAAAGTACAATCTCAATACAATTTATGGTTGACCATTCATTAGAAAAAGGAACATAATATAGTGAGACTAAAAAAAAACAAAAAAACAGAAAACTAGCTAGGAGGCAAATGGAGCCCCTGGTGGTACAAAATGTTAACGCGCTTGCTCAGCTGCAACCAAAGATTGGAAGTTCAAGTCCACCCAGAGGCACTTTGGAAGAAAAACCTGGCAATCTACTTCCAAAAAACCAGCCATGGAAAACCCTACGGAACATGGTTCTCTTGTAACACACATGGGTGACATCTGCTTGAGTAGGAATCGATTAGACATTAATTTGAAAAATAAATCATGGCACATATAAATCATATAAATTGTTCAGTGATAAACCTGCTTATTCACAAGGGGTTGACAGAGGCATAGGGAGGGTAACAAGCTCCCAGGGGCAATCTCTAAATTTGTGCCCCCCACTCCCCTCACCCCGCACCCCACTTGCCTCGTAGGGGAAAAAAAAACTCGGTTGCTGTTGAGTCGATTCTGATCCATAACCCATAGCAGCCCTAAAGAACAGAGTAGAACTGCCCCATAGGCTTTCCAAGGAGTGGCTGGTGGATTTGAACTGCCCACTTTTTGGTTAGCAGCCGTATCACTT